GAAATTGTTTGTCACTTCCAAAATAAGTCAAGACTGATTCTTTCTCTCAAGACATGATTCTTGGAGCTATTCGTACCACAGGATAGGAGGTAACTGTCCTGGCTGGTTGTAACTCACCAAATGGGATGTTGTGAAATGTTTAGAATGGATGGATTGATGACCAAGTTTCCATGAGGGAAAATGAGATCTAAATAGGCAGCAGAAGTAGCAAAGCACTGAGCAGAAAGAAATGTAACCCTGCTGTCATTTATATGATACACATGAAGATATTCTATATTATTTCTTACTTTAAGAGACCGTTGTTCCTGCATTGCAATGAACATGGACACTGTCGTTTATTATGAGCCAATCAAGCGATTTCCCTGTGGTTCACTGGTTAGACTGACTTCCCCTTAAACCAAAAGAGTCAAGTAAACCCCCACTTCAGCCAACATGTTGTTCTTTATGAATATAGTGGTCTTGCATTTTGACCTGCTGGATTTTAGACTTCTAATTAAATTTCCTTACATATTGTTTAAATCCAGTTTAGCTAGTATTTCCGTTCAAATAATCGTCCTTCTTGTGTGAAGAGTACGTGACTCTTCTTCCCCTTTGGCTGCTCTCCATAACAGTTGCAAACTAGGCCCCACCAATCCTGGCATGGAGATCTGATGATCTGCATATTTGATTTGGCAAAGGCTTTTCACTCTGGGTGCCCTTCTTGAAGCAACCCTCCCCATTTATTCGACTTGGGACCAGCAATTAGGAATGAACTGGCTTGATTAGAGCCCTGAAATATGTTTATTAGTTTCTACAACAAGTCCAGTAGCACAGAACTTGCACTTTCTTCTGCAGTCTATTGCTTTCCAGATACAGTATGGGCAAGACACATTTTAAAAGGCAACCTCTAAGTCTTAATTAGCAGCGGTGAATTCAAATTAACTCCAGCTGTAATCATTTATATGATCAGGGTTATTAAATGCCCTGCTAAATTGAAAACATACGGCGATGCAAAACTTTTGCAACCCTCACAGTAATTTGTAGCAGGCCTAGTAAACCACAAGCTCAAAATATAACTTTTGCAATGCTGACTGAGGCTGTAAAAAAACCTATATCAATCTATTTACAAACACATATAAAACATCCAATATGTGCAGGAGGGTTCTGACACAAATTGAAGATCTCATGCAAAGATAACCATTTCTGTCTGGCAGGCAGGCAGTGTCGAGTTTGCATTTCACATGACCACATCCAGCTCCTGTATCAATAATTCCTGCATTGCCCTTCCAAATCAGCATGTCAGATTGCTGAAGCAAGAACACAAACACAGGAGGACTCTTCGCAGTGTATCCACAGAGCAGACATTGATATGCATGAATGCATTCAGCTACACATGCTCGACGCACACCACCTCTAAACACACAAATGCGCATTTCTAACCCTCATACTGGCTTCTCTGTGTGTGTCTGTCTGTCAAAGGAAAATGCCATCCATCATATAGGATGCATGGGGCGAAAGATTACTCACATTTCTCCCAATGATAGCCAAATTGCACTGGATGGCTCTCATATTTGGGAGATAGCTGCGGCTTTCTCTTTGCATACAAATGACAAAGTCTCTCTCTCAATTTGCTTTCTCCTTGACTCAAAGAAAGCGATGAGTGTCACAGATCAGGCGCTGAAAGAAGAAAATGCAACAGATGCCACCAGACTACCGAATAGAGACATGTAAAGATACTGAGATGGAATTTACAACTTCACAGGAGGAGATAAGTAAGATCCAGTCCTAACTAATGCACATCCAGTGACAGACAACAGTGACAGCAATAATCTAAGAAAATCTAATACTTTAGCTTTTATCTTGTTTCTTAGTTGAATCAAATTCAGACTCATTTTATCCTCTTTGAAAACTAAACTTCTGTTAGTAATCCACTTATTTGGACTCCTTCTGAACAGGATTATTTTATCTAAAACTGTACGTACTAGGCTCAAACTGGGATAAAAAGACTCCACTACCAAGACCATCTAGAGAGTGACTGAGTTGCGCCATAAGACTTATTATCAAGCTTATTTTGCTGCAATTAGCAACTGTCACAAATGAATTAGATAATCAACTGATGTGATAATAAACACAACAAATTTAAATCAAAGGAAAATTGCACTTTGTTTCGAGGGTCTTATTTTTGGCCATCACTTCTATCAGTCATAATAACAGTGTACTCACCAAAGTATTTCCTAGATACAGGAGCTCAGCACCATTATAATGAAGTCCAATGAGGCAAGAAACACATGCAGTCTGACAGGTTGGAAACACGCCAACAGTTTAGCCAGACTTTTGAAAACCACTTCATTTGAAGGCAGAAAGACACCCAGACGTTGATAATGATTCCCTCATTGCAGAGTGACCACCTACGGTAAGACCAATAAGCAGTTTTTCAAACAAGTTTAGCTAAACTGGGACTTTGTATAAAATGTTACAGATGACAGCAATAAGAGCCAGTTTAAAAAAAAAACTAAATTATCCTTTAATTCCTTAACACTGCTCAGAAAAGGGCACTGGAATATCAAATCAAACTAACTCACAGTCCTGTCACACACTGGTTTCCTGGCAGCTTCATTGATCTCTAGTAATAGTCACATTTTAGATTGCATTATCCTTTTGTAGCAAAAAAAAAAAAAAATGCTGATGAACTAAATAAAGATGCATTCAAAAGCCAACACTTTAGGTAATTACATGCAAATGAAAATCTGTCATCATTGTAAAGGCTTTGTAAGTGCACCAGAAAACAACACAGAAACGTCCTTTAAAAAAGAAGCAAAACAAATCAAAGTGAGGCAGCAGATTTTGAAACAGCTTCCAGCGGCTCACTCTCTCTTCGGCTAATGAAATATCTAATGCACTTAGTTTCCTTTAGTTAGCACCTGCCTCCTTAGAGGCATGTTTCTCCTCTCCAAGCTAAATTACTTGGTCTCAATGGAGCGAGACAGAGTGCGGTGAGTAACAAAGAGGAGAAGTGGAGTGTATTTTCAGGAAAAAGGAATGACGAGCTCGTGCTGGAGAGCTGAGGTGACAGATGATACTCTTCATTTTGTCAAAGCCGGCTACGGCAGGATCTTACAGTGACCTGAGCAGCCAGGTTACAGTATACTTACACTGCACTCGGCCTGTAAAGCCACCTTAACTACTTTCCAAATCCCTCTCTCTCACTGTGCTGTGTCTGGTGGTAACAGCTCAAAAGTGCATCATAACCATGCCTTCTCCTACCAAAGCACTCTGTAAAGGCATTTCCCTTTTTACAGTCCTTGCTCTTTGTGGAATGAATTATACAGCCGCGAAATAGACATCTAGAGGTTGGAGGCGCCAGGCGAGGGCATGCAGTTAAAATGAAGAATTGTGAGGTGCATTTCTGTGTCAGTAAAAATGCCAGATCTGTATCTGATTTGCATGCTTGTTCCTGTCTCTGCATTCTCTCTCATAAAGGCCTTTCTGTGAGAGTTACTTTGCCGAATGCAGGACTCAGTAGCCAAATAAATAATAGAGTGGTGGTCACATGGTGAGAAAGACTAAAGGTGGTGCAGGACCAAAAATCCATTTAAAGTATAAGGTTGTATTTGCCCGCTGACCTGATAATGACTAAAATAAAAAGAAATACAGAACTTTCACTGCTTGTAATAAGTAAATGCTGGTAGCATTTTGTGACCTTCCTCTAATTAAATTTTAATGATCATACAGTAACTTGACAAGTTGCGAAAGGACTGGGTAATAATTGACACCACAAACTTGTGAAACGAATTATTGTAGAACAGAAAATGTTGAGTTTGATTTGATTTTGCTCAACAAATAGAATCTTTTTTTTGCTTTTGGTCTACAGTAATATATTTTCTTAATCATGTAGTCATGTGTATGGTTGGGGGCAGGGTAGTTACGCATGTGAATATATATGCATGCATCTGTATGTATTAAGAGCTGCAACCAACAATTATTCTTATTATCGATTAGAATGTCAATAATTTTCTCTGTTCATCAATTAGTTTAGTTTCCTAAAGCCCAAGCGGTTTCCTTCATATCCTGTTTTGTCAACAACCCAAAGATATTGAGTTTACTGTCATAGAGGACTAAAGAAACCACAAAATATTCACATTTGAGAAGCTGAAATGAGAGAATTTGGATTTATTTCCCCAATTGTTTCAGCACTAGTACGTATACTGTATGAGTAAGCTGGCAAATTGTTCTGCTATTCAACAAAATGTACCACATAGTTAAACTTTGTTGTGTCTTAACATCTTTTATGTCTGGATAATTGTTATGCAATTTTCTATTCATACTGTATCTGTCCATATCAAATAAACATTAAATGAAATAAATTATCAGTGTGCATTTCAGACAACAACAGATCTAAAAAAGAGTACAGGAGTATATCCCCAAACACAAAAATCATCTAAAAGTGACAGTACTGCAGTTATAGACCGAAAAAGTCACTTCTGTGAAATGCTCCTATTAAACTGAATTCAAGATTTACAATTGTTGTGTTTGTGAAAAGAATATTAGTGACAAGAAAACAGTGCTTTTTTGGTGGAGGGAGTTGAAGTATGAGCGTTTGCAGTCCCTTTACAAAACCTTTCAAAGAAATTACACAATCAGAGTGGTTAGAGTAGAATAATCAACAAGGGAGATCCATAAGAAAGTAAGCTATCATGATCAGCGCCTGCACTGGTTGTCATTAGATTGATAAATTCTATCGATGTCATCCATCACCAACTTCATCAATTCAGAAAATAGATGAAGAGTCTGCTGAGTGAAATCGACTTGCACGTGCGCACAAATGACTGTTTTGTGTTCGGTGGGATGCCGGGAGTGAAAAGGAAAAATTACAAGATCTTAGATTGAATTGAATATATTACTACGACGCCTAATATCTTCAGAGTAACATGAATGTCTTATTGCTATGGGAGCATTATGGAAACTACACGTGTGTGTCTGAGCGATTTTTTGAACATAAAGAAGGAATCCAGCTCACTTACCCAGCACGCCAAGCCGATAGTTCATGGTCACCACAATCACGTTCCCGTAGGCAGCCAGGACGCTGGCATCAAACATGTTTCCGGTGCCCTCCATGTAGGAGCCTCCATGAATAAACAGCATCACCGGCTTCTTCCTGCGATCACGAATATCTACACACACACACACACAAAGAGGAGAAAACAGGGAATGGAGAGCAAAAAAGAAAAAAAAAAGTCAATAACTGTATTTACGCCTCTCATATTCTCTTTGATCACATATTGTGTTAGACCTTAATATACTGAGCAAACAGCAAATTGCTCGGCTGGATGAAAACTCAGAACTGTATCAAAGCCTAAGAACTGCACTGTTCCCTGCAGCTGGATGTCAGCTCTTACAAAAATTAGCTTGAGGTAATTTAGATTTCAGGCAATTATTCCTGCAACAGGCAATAAGGCAAAGAGACTACTACTACAAGAATCTAATCAAATGTTTCCTGGTGATTAAAGAAACAATGATAGGAGACTATCACTGGGTAGTGTAGCATATTAAAGCTAATCTGTATATTACTGCCTCTGACAGTCTTCATTCCACACTAAGGCCCAGACATACCAACAATGATGTAATCCCAAATGCAATTAATCCCACCTGTGCAAGGTTATTCACTAAATTAAGGCACTAAAATGAGGGCAGGCTCCAGTAATTTGTTCAAACTGAGAATGTACAAATGTGACGACAAAACAATGTGCACGGTAGCTCTTTTGCTGCGAGTGCTCAAAGCGTTGGTGTCAAAGCTCACAACCAAAGAGCTCTCTGCTGCAAAGAAGAGATGTTTTAACACGGTGTAAAAAGGCACTCTGGGACGTCGTAGCAAACACACTGGGCACCGCGAGTGCAATTTACAGGTAGAAAAAAAAAAGGTATGACACAAGGAGCCATATTAAAGCCAGGCCTACAAGGAGTAATGCCGATGTCTGAAGAACATTTTGTGTGCAATCAAAAGATGATAAAAGGCCACTGGCTCGAAATATATCATGTCTGCTATGAATTTCCATAATTTCCTCATTTTATTTTGCACCTTGGAACTCCCATAAATGCAAATTGCAACTCGCCCTGAGCTGCAGGGACAGCTACATCAGCCTATTTCTAGGTCAATTCCCCCATGGGGAATCTCTAGAAAACACCATTTTCTTGGATGCTATCATTTTGCACTGGCACAAATTGTTAGTGGATCCTGCCTTGAGGGAAAAAAATGGAAAGATAACTGAAAAGTTCCATGTGAAAATGTCACTGGAAAACATAACCAACTTTAGGTTTAGGGTTGGGTCTGATAATCCATCTGGCAAGTACTTTAATCCACATCTAATATAAATCCTGGATTGTTGTTATTCTTACAATAAGTCAGTGATTTCACTTAAACTTGCCTTGAATATTGAATATTCTGCTTTTTAGATACATTTCATGTATTCATCTTTTCTTCTACTGCATGATTGTAAAGTGTCAAATCATTTCAACAGTCTACTTATTAAAAAAAAAGCTGAATATCCTGTCAAACCCTGTAAATATGGATATTTTTGAGGTGCTGAGGCTGATCAGTGACTGAATTGTTATTCATTAAAACTATGACTATGTAATGATCAATTCTGGCATCATTCTCTAAAAAAATGCATGCAGAAGATTTCAGAGTACATACAGTCAAAATCAGACATGAGATGCTACGACACGCGCCTGCTACTTCAGCGGAGTGTGCATGCAGGATGGTCCCTAATGGGCCCTCGTTGGCCTTTGAACCACCCTCCCAGCTGACAGAGAGCAACGATACTCCTGCCTGCCAGGAGCCTACGGTAGCATATGGCACACAAGACTTAGAACTGTGGCACAGTGACAGCCTCTGTTGGCTTCTGTGTGTGTGTGTGTGT